ACTTTGGGTTTGGAACCGGTTTTATTTTTTTATATATATTAAAACCGGGTTTAACATATGAAAAATAAAACCGGTATGATTAGATATATGAATCTTGCTTTAAAAGGAGTTGTAATTTTTCGGGAAAACTCCACCCAAATAACAAAGATTTTTTTGAGTAATCTTAAAATGGCATTATTCTTTTTAGGGACAAAATCTCAGCCGACGTTAAGGTTCAGGGTATGTATAATGAACGCTTAAAAAAAAATCATATATTAACTATTTTAAACTTATATTATTTACTAAAAATATTTTATATGTATCATTACGATTATTTATAGATTTCCTTATTATTATATGTATCCCCGATTACTTTGATCTCTCGATTTCAGTCCTGTGACGTAGAAAAGATGTTCAAGATTTACAATAGACTAAAAAATGAGAAATGTGTAATAGGAAAACCACGTTTTACATAATTCAAGATACTCTACCAGTCAAAAAAAAAAGACTTGTTTCGTTGCGAAAATTGATCGATTATTTGTCACACGTTGGCAAGATTTTCTATGGTACGAGTTAACAAATAAAAAAATTTCCATTGTTTCTTTGTCATACATAACTAAATAATTATTTTATATATCTAGATATCACTTTAATATTTTTTAAATCATCAAAATTGATCGGTGAAACTACGACAGTTTTACTTTTACATATGTCGTCAAATGATTTCGCCGATAGATTCTTCCATGCAAACAATGATCATTTAAAGAAAAAAACAAAATCGGTGCTAAACTAATCACGAACATCAAATGAATGTTCTTTCTTTTACTATTTTGCCAAAGCATCTGACTAAAATACTTTAATTTCTAAGCTTATCACCCCTACCGCTACACATTTTTATGACGATCAATATGGTTCCATTCATAAACTGCGCCAAAAATCAATTGTTAAATTGAATCAGGTAACAAATCTTTGATAACTATAACATCACTACATATTTTAGTACTATGTAGAATCAAAAGTAAATCGATCGGAGTTTTGTTATTGTGATAAATATATGGGTAATGCACAGGTATAAATATTAAAATTTAAGTATTTATTTATATTTACGACTTCTATGCATACACTACTTGAACTAATTTTCAAGTTTTTTTTTTTTGTGCATATTTGATTGATAGGAAAAATTTTTTTTCTTGACGAGTTTGGAACTTTGAAGTTTCGTCGTTTGTTATGATTTATCATTTCTTTGGATGAGTACATTGGTATGTGTTTAATACGATGTTTTCAATGCTTGAAAATTTTTATAAAATAGGTAGTTTGGAGAGGTGTGACGAGGTGTTGTCAAAAATTTCAAATCAATTTTTATTAATAATCTCTAATAAATTTTTTAAATCTTTTTTACAAATCATCTTTCGAAATATAACTTTACACAAATCAAATTCACATTTAATCTTAAAAATCCTTCTTTTCTTTTCTTTTCTTTTCGTATCATTCTCTATTCAAAAAAAAATGACTTTTCATCGTGCCGAGAAACAACGATTCAAAAAATTTTCAATCTTTAATAAAAAATCTATCGTTCCTGCCGACATTACCATGCCACCAAAAATCACTTATCTTTCGTTATTACAAAGTGTTCAGTGTTGTCAAACTAAAAAACCGATCATCGTCAAAAATTCTCCAAAAGTGAAAGAATCACCTTGTCAACATAAATCAAAACGAACCTCTCCTTCAAAAATCTTTCAAAAAGCTTTGAAAAAAGTTACCAAAACTTTTAAAAAATCAAAATTAGAATCCGATTCTAATACCTCCTCCTCCTCTAATACATCTAATACCTGTACTCGTCGAGTAAAGAAACGCATCACAACAGAATTAAAGCCGAAACACAGAAGATTCGGAATTTATGTTTCACCAGAATGCGGCAACCAATTTGTACCTGCCAGATTTGAACTCTCTAAAAATAGACAAAGAATATGCATTGACTCTAATGAGAATCCTTATTTACCGACTCCTAAAGCTCTACCTGGATCCATTCATAAATTTCCCACTTCGGAATTAAAATTATTAAAGTTCAAAATTAATTATTATTGGGAATCACTATCAGCGTCACACAATATGACAATCCCATATGGAATAACATTCAAGAGTTTCTTAAGATATTGCCAACAAGAAGTTGAATTTATGGTTCCAAATGATTGTATCGTATTGGCACATACAGAGAAATTTGAAGACGATGATATTACCTTTTTACTCACCGGAAAAGGACTTAATAAAGGAAAGATCAATTATAAAAAGAAAGCGATGGAATTAAAGAAATTATTTGAAAAAGATGCCTTGAAAATTATAGATTGTGAAGATATTTGGAAAATAATAATGGAAGGATGGAATAATCATCAAGATGATGATGTTATAGATGTTACTCTATTTTCGGCAGAAATGTTGTAAATTTCCACAGAAAATGATAGTGTTGTAAATGATTACTTTTATTACTTGCTTCCATTAATTCACTCAAAAAAAAAAAAAAAAACACCCTTCTAAAAATCTTTAATACGAAACCTCACACGTTAGAAGAAAATTTACATTTATTATTTTTTCTTTTTATTTCGTTCGACGTAATTACAAAAAAAAAAAAAACTTTGAAATTTCTCTGAACAAGACTAATTCCTTCTTCCTTCAATTATGAAGTTGAATTTCCGAGTAGTTACTGTACATGCGAACAAGGAATTGTTTGCAAAGGGTGATTTGACATCACGAGAAATCAACATTGAAAAACTTAATTTATTAAAAATAAAATATCATGTAAATATTTTTTAATCTTTAATGCAATATTAGCAAAAGTTAATGTATTAGATATATAATCTGTAATGCTAATTTTATATGGTATCAAAGAAATTCATACGTACATCTCATTAATTCATACATGATAAAATGTTACAAAATAGGACATTAAGAATGTATATATATATTAAACTGAAAAAAAAAAATAATAAAGTTTGATGAATTTGAAGTGGGTATTCCCACAATTGAAAGAACTACATAGTAAAGATTATATTACATATACAGATTACAATTATGTATAATAAGGGTATGTTATATATATATACACGCACATATTTGTGTGCGTCCGTCTAACCTTCAACATATAGACTCATTTTGTTTACAATCATCACTATTCACTTCCTTATCATTATTTATTTCCAAGCCCAAATTAATGTCAAAATCTTTTTTTTCAATTTCAACAACAACTTTTTCATTGACATTATCATGTTCAATACGTATAAATCTAGCAGCTTCTTTAGTTTCGGAATTTTGTAAATATTTAATTATTTTTACTTTTTTTTTTACTTGTTGAACGTTAGTTTTCTTTTCTATTTGTACTTTCCAGGCTATCCAAGTTGCGATTATGTATGTAATCACTATAAGAGAACTAAAAGTTATTGAAGCGATGTAGGTGTCACAGACTATTAATGGTTCACTTGGAATTTGTTGAAGTGAATACGCAGAACGGTATTGTTGACAAAGACCAACGGCGCCATGGAAAATGTCATAAAGGTTTGCCATAACTATATATAGAAAATAAATTAGTTACAAACTTAAGTACCAACAGTAACTTAATGTAAATACGTGTACGTATTAAAATTATTTACGTACATGCAGAGAACCACATAATTAACTGCAACCTTGAAAAAAAAAAAAGAAGTTTTTTTTTAACACCATTTCACAATGCAATTTATAACGAAAAAATGAATAATGCGTGTTCTTTGTTGTCACGTGAAAACACTAACATTTCAAACCAAGCAAAAGGTCCCTTTTGTTCTGTCCAAGATCCTTGATATAATGCGATATACATGCCTACGAATTCAATAATAAAAATAATCAAAAAAAATTTCTATTAAAAAAAAATTTTTTTCTAATATAACTTACCGGTGATTAGAATACTAAGAGAAAAGACTAAATAAAAGTATTTCTTTACCAATGCACTTCCTCTATAAAAATTGAATAAAGTTCGGTTTATTTTATGTACATATGTATGTATATGTATATTTGTTTTACATAATAAAGATATAGTAAATTAACACTCACAAGTCCGAATTTAAAAAAAGCGTTTTGTAGGATGAATTAGAGAGTTGATCATAGTGAGAAACTTTATCGACATAATTCAAGTAAGCTCCAAGTTCAATCATTTCTTTAATAATAAATTTTTTATCAATAAGATTATTATTTGTGATTAAATTCACGAATAAGTCGTAGAGATCAATTTTACCTAGGATAAATATCATAAATGAAAGCAATAATTGCGTCCATTTCAGAAATTGAAATAATTTTCGATGATTGTGGTATTTCATTTTTAGGAAAGGATTTTAGTGGTTCGGAAACGAAAAATAAGTTTTTTTTTTTTGACTTTTCGTAATATTATCAAAGAAATTATTATTATTATTACTATAACGTATTATGCTAATGTCTAAATTGCATAATGCAGAAATATGCCGGTGATGGTGTGTTGTAAATAAGATGGATATGAGATGGATTGTGAGATAGATGGGTGTTATCAGTAAGCGGGAAATCGTAATATAACCAAGACAACAAAAAATTTCGTTAGTTCTTGTTCAATTTTTTTTCCGCAAATGATTAATATTTAAAAACGGGATATTAGGGATGGAAGTTAAGGAGGTCGAAAGGAAAGGAGAGGAAGGGAAATGGGGGTATATCGAAGTCAGAATCGTATAAATAATCCAGTCATCCGAAAAAATTTGACTTATTTATATTGCCGAGACTTATGGAGTAAGATGAGCATGTATCGTCATAACTTGTTTTTCAAGTCAATCGGATAATTTATCCGGAACATCCGTGTATACTTTTTTCATGATCTGTAAAAAAACTTGAACTTTTCAAATGCATGCTTGATTTAACACAACATGAGGTATGTACTGTACGTACCAAGTAAGCATATAAGTTTGTCTACCCTATATGGATTTCCATCTCACAAAAATTTAATTCAATGACCTAACTGTTTGAGTCATTAATATTGTTTAAAAAAAATTTTTAGATTATTAACTTTTTTGTGTTCAATAAATATTTATTATTTATTCATTACCATCATTATCACTTTTTAAGCTAAATTGTATGGTAAACCATTTCCCGATTGGAGAAAAATTTTGTCCCCCTGATCTTTTATTATTTTTAGTTCATTTTAACCTACCTATCGTTATTACTGTATTAGTGATTTAATAAATTTTTTTTTTGTCTTGAATTTCAAATGTTTATCACGTTGATGAAATAAAAATTTGATTAATCTCATACGTACGTATAAAATTGATTTGCTATACTATTTTTAATTCGTTATTTTTAAAAGATCTTTAATTTAACGTGGCTTTTTTAAATCCGAAATCATTTCCATAACGCGGTATTCTTGAAAAGATGTACGTACGTGCCCATATCAAGCATGTTTATGGTAAAATTGCGTTTAATTCAAGTAATTACCCCTTTACTACGTGCGAAATACCCCTATATCACACATTCCGTAATATATATATTAATTACATGGTCAAATAAACCTATTCTCCCTATAAGTTAGAACATTCGAATAATGTGAATATCTAAAGTAGCAAATTAAACATATAACAAAGAAAGCAAAATTTATAAAGAAAATCGAACTTTTATCTATTAAATAGTGTCCAAACAATATTATTTTTATATATATTCTTTCATTTTGTTGTAAATTGGTTGAACTCTCATTAATCGATTTTTGCATTATACGCTTTGGCTCAGTAAATGAATTTCCTGTACAGTACCAAAATGTATAATGCAAAAACTAATTAAAGAAAAGTCAACCAGATTACATCAAGTTTACTTAAAAATATATATACGCATATACGTATATAAAATAACATTTTAAACAACTTAATAGCTAAGCAAAAATTTTATATATAATGTAAGCGGGAACAGAATTAAGTGGATTGGTTAAATTAGAATTTTAGAGTAGAATTTATTATAGTAGAATTTATTATAGTAAACCTATACCCTAACCCTATTTTAATTAAGAAATTCTAAGTCCGAATTTACAACATATATATAACAATACATACATATGTTGTAAATATTTTTAGAATTTTTGGTTTAGATACGTGTATTAATATTATTGGCTCTTTTAACAAAAGATTAATTATTTAGAATGCTAAAATACTTGGTGAATGCTTAGAAAAAAGCTTAAGTATATATACTAAGTTATTTAACATGTTACAACACTTAGATTTGGAAACTATAGCGCCAAAGATTCCAATAGCATTATAAATAATCAATTTTATAGAGAATTGAGATATTTATGAAGTTATTATTTTTAAGAACAACCTAAATTTTATCAAGGTATTCATTTCAAAATAATAAATCTCCTGACTAAATTGGTACAATGTTAAATAAATTTGTAGTTCATATAGTAAACTAAGAACTAATTTTAATTTAGCTTTAATGTATCAATAAATTCTTTTATAAAAAGATATTGCTTAAAACTAGATATATTCTAATAACAACTATTAATTTATTAAAAAGATTGTAAATTATATAAAATTGCAAATATTTACATATTAGTAATAACTTACTGAATTTTAATTAGAAAAGATAAAATTAGTCAAATTAGATTTATAGTACAAATAAATTTTCAAAACTAATTAATAAACAAATTGATATATTATTATATTACCAAAATACTAGTATATAATCAAAAGTTTTGTATTTACTAATAGAATTTATTCAAAAATCTAAAACTATTGAATTTAATCCAACAAATAATAACAAAAATTATGTAGCCAAACTATCTAGCCTAAAAAATATATTAAATATTTTTACTAAAATATTTCATATCTTTAATTCAAAAAATCAAATAAGTATATATATTATTCAATTCATTTCAAAAAAATATATACAATTTAAAATTACTAGAAGTTTAAATAAATACATCCACTAAAAACACTAAAAATAAAAATGATAATAAAAAGTCTTTTGGCAATAATATT